GAGAATATTATCTTCTATCCTAAATGAGATGCCACCTGAGACAGCCACTAGTCTTTTGCATTTGAAAAGTAAATTCAGCAGTGGATTTTTTAAAGAAACCTGGCTTTTCACAATGACTAGTTTAATTGGCCTAGTGGCAATTCTAGCTTAGACTAGTAAATTTCGATTTGGACTAGAAGTTTAATGAGGCCTGTTTTGACAAGTGGACAGAAATGATTCAGGTGTGGATCAAAGACATGTAATGAATTAATCCACACTTACAATTTAAGCAGTAAGAATATTTAAAAAATATTAAATAAAGAGTTATAGGAACATTTAAAACATTGCATGCTCAGGTGGACCAGAGACGGAGGCCCTCTTCCTGTCTTGGACTTTAATTTCAAGGATATGGAAGGTATTAAGGTAGGGGGAATCTTTTTATTTTATTAAACCTATTTTATTCACTTTATAATTTATTGCTACATTTATATTAAGTGGAATTTTCAATAAATGCCAGAAATAAGAACTAATTTGATATCATAACCAGGCAAACAGTGAGGGGATATTCTTTCTTCAGGACATTCCACTTATCCTCCATTTTTATTTCAACTTCAGTTGACTTCTTTAATACCTGTACATTCTAGCAGAACATTTTATTCAGGTGTTACAATAAAAGTCTCTTCAACAGTAGCTTAACTGGGAGCAATTTTAATATTGGACTGATAAAACTCTGACCTATGCTGTTGTTTGAAGAAACTGTCACTGTCACTTTAATGTATTCTTTTCATATTTGTAGACAATTCTGTCAGAGGAGGAGAAGGCAGCCTTCAAGCCTGTGCCCAGTCTACTGAAGAAAGGCCACGCCAGCTTTCACCATGCCCTGTCAGTGCATGGCTCTTATGGAAACAGGTGAGTTCTATGAAATAGGTTTGTCATCTTCTCCTGTGTAAAGGGTACGGTATAGAAAAGTAAATTGTTTTTAACGTATTATATATGAAAGAAAAAAGGACAGATAAATTATATTGGCAAAAAGGTTCTATCACTACAGTACTTGTATGCAATTTGTAAAATGTTAATAGTTTTCTCCCTTCATCAAGAACTGCACATTTGTTCATACTTAGAAAATTTATTATTTAATTTATTAAAACATTAATTTTTGGTTTATAAATGGACAGTTTTCAACAGATGAATGTTTGGTATTAAAGGTTTTACATCTCAGTTTAACTGTTGGTCCCCATCTATTTAATAGGTTAAAACTGGCAAATATATGGGTACATTTTTGCACTTCTTTAGGTCCGATGGTCCAAGACGTGCTGCAGTATTAAACTATTTTGCTGACGGCGTGCTTAGCAACACTGATGACTTCATGATCAGAGCAACAAGTGGGACAGATACTGATGAAAATATTGTTGAGGAACTCCTGAATGAGGGGAAAATTCCAAAGGTGTGTAAATATCAATAATGATTTTTAGGTAATTACAGTGACTGTGATTCTAAAGGCAGGACGTGTCTTATTATGACTTCAAATATCAAACGATAAAGTTTATGTGTCTAAATTACTATTATTATGAATTTGACATTAAAAGCTGCATGCTCTCAGTGATTTGTATTTCACCAGAAGTCATTTAAACCACACAATACCACTGAATGGCATATGTGTATGTGAACATAGTTTGAAATTGTATTAACTCGGTTATTTACATTTTAGGGCAGCAAGATGGAAGGGCAGTTCTTCCCCCTGGTATATGACCCAGCCTGGGGAGCATGAAATACAACTAACAATGATAGAACAATATGATAGCACTAGGAAAAACAAAATTTTAACTAAAATTAAAATGCAGTATTTATTCATTTATTCATTCAGAACTGCTTTGGGGGTTAGTTGATATTCAGAGCTGACGCAGACCAGCTCCTACATTTACAAATTACCATAGAAAGCTTCAGAACTTCATTGGTATTTGATTGACATGGACAAATGTTGCATCATGCAGTCACAAAATGTTACGGGAGTCTATTAACAACATTACTTGCCCAGGTGAAGTATAACAGAATAAAAATAACTGAATATTCTGATGCAGTGAACTTTGAATAAAATTGCTGCCGAGTGCCACAGTCTGATAAGATGCTTATAGGGGCATCTCTGACATTTGAAGATTGAGTAAGTGGTACACATCGACTTGAAGCTTAGGTAGGTTTGATGCACAATCATTTCCACCAGTCAACATGGAATTGCTTAATATCATGTCAATAGAAAAGGAAATAAAAGTTTACTTGAAATTTTACCATGATTGAAAAATAAATGTGTCAGATTTAAATGATACAGGTCAGTTGTTCTATAATTAGAAAATAAGAAAGTGATGAGGAAAGACATTTCCTTCAAGTAGACAGTGAACCACTTCCTTGGGGCCACCAATAAATCTCAGACTAAAGCCCCATTCTGTGGATCAAGTACCTTCATTTTTATTTCTCAGACCACATTCACAACCAAAGTTGATATGCAGACTAACAGATCTGAAGAGCAAATATGATTGACCTACGTCACCTACCTGAAAGTTTGCTGAATAATCCCCTATAAGACACTGAAAGGATTCCTTATGGGGATTATGCAGTAGGCTTTCAAGTTAAATTGAATCTAAAAGTGCTGTAATTTTCATCTTGTCACATGACAGTTCTCCGTCACATACAATAAATATGAACTCAAAAAAAAAAAATTAATGTAAGCCCATATATATGGTAGATTCACCATTCTTTGAGAATGAATTTAACAACAACCCTTCAGTCAAAATGGGCCAAGCCTGTTGTGATTTGCATAACAATAAGTCGCTCAGCCCAGCGCAAACTATCTTCTTGACAGGTCACTTAATAGAAAGATGCTGTAAGAACAAAACGAAGGATGCTTCTGTCCATTTCAACATTTCTACTAATTTGTTAGTCCATCTGACAGCAAAAAAGAAAAAAAAAAAAAAAAACATTGCGCCTTGCTGCCACGAGGCCCTCAGCTCTGTTTGATAGTAGGTAAATTCACTGTTAATGTGTGAGACTTGGTACTGAACTTGGCACTGGAATGTGCGTCTCTGATTTTCTCTGGGAATGTTACTTTCAGTTCATATTTTTCAGCTACTGTCAGGGATAAATCATCCTGCAACATCAATATACATGGTCTTGTCAAAACAGTTGAATAATGAAATAAAAGCAAAATGTTATGCTGAAGTTCTCTCACTTGAATTCTGATTTTGGGTTTTGAACAATCTTAGGAAAAATCTGGTTTTTATTTTGTAATATTTAACGTCTTATACCTCAGAGAAGTTATTTGCATGAACTTGTATTAGCCACAATGACACAGCAGTGACTTCCCTTATCCTAAACTTTAAGACAATTTGCCTTGGTTGCATATTAAAAAATACTTGCCTCTGATATGTCAAGTTCGCATTCTTGAACAGAACCCACTTCTGGCAGGTGAACTTTGACCTCTACTCTCCTTGGCTTTGAACCAGTGCTGTCTTTTACACACATCTCATGTTTAGGAGTGCGTCCATCTTTTTCCCCTGAACTGGAGACCTCTTGGATCAAATTTGCTTTATTTGTGTTTTTACTTGGTTGTTTTGAAAGCCCAGGTACTCTGATCTCTGTTTCTTTTTGGACCGGAGGAGATGACTTCACTTTGGAATCATCAGAAGTAAGATTGGAAAGCTGTCCAATTAAGCTCTCATTTGATTCTGCAATAGGTCCGAACATTTTTTGCAAATCTGACATCTGTTTATTATACTCATCATCCTCTTTTTGAAATCTCTGAGTCAAGCCCTGTCTAAGCTGGGCAAGGTCGCCTTTATAGAGAGTGCTTTCATCGAGTAATTTGTAATTCCTTGAGATGGTCACTTTCTGCTGGTCTTGTACATAGTCAAGTCCCAGGTTAATCAAAGCATCTCTTTCAGCAGGATTTTCAGCTTCATGGCCATAGTCTTGCACAATCTGTGGGTTAAAGGCTATGGATACAACTTTAATATCCTCTGGAAGAAAATGGAATGCAGTAACATAAGCTTTACAATTATTTTTTATAATATGCTAAAATTCACCAAAATATAGCAGAAACACTATCTCACATAAAGACGACTTGAAAAAAAATATGAAGTGAGATTAAAATTGTAATTTGAAAACATTATTAATCAAACTGAGGTGACATAGAGTACATTCTTTCAATATACACTTTAAATGTGATGATTTCCCATTTCGCAATGAAAAAAGTCAAATATGAAGCTAATATATATATATTCATGTGAACAATAAAACAGAAACAGAATAATATCAAAAATACCATCTTCTTCTTCATCTCTTGAAGTCATGATCTTAGACCCCATAACAGGTATAGGGTCTGTGTCATATATCTTTGGTTTGGGGACTCTGTTCCACCCAAATACACTGACATACAGCTTCTCAGTAATATAACCCTCCTTCTGAAGAAAATAAAACAATTATAACTTTTCAAGTGCATCAAAACTTCAATTTGTGATATTTATAAAAAAAAAAGGAAAAGGTGATTTGGACTAGGTAGCAATTACTAAAAAAAGATTGTTTTTAAAAAGATGCAAACTGATATGACTATTATAGGATTCAATTTAAATTTTACTCATATACTCATATAAATTTGGAACACAATTAGCAAAAATGCTGACACTCTCTGAGCCCACTCATTAGCATTAATGTCCTTATCTGTCCTGGCTTTTGCAAAAAAAATCTTCTTAATTTTAAGATGCAGCAGAGTGAAGAGAATTCCCTCAAAGAACTCTGAAACTGAGTTTTACATTAATCCACTTCACCTAATAAAGACGCTCATGCATACAGAAATATATTCTTACAAGGATTCCTGTCTTTACACACATGCATGGCTGAGGTGGTTTTAAAAATTCTTTCCCCTCTTTCACATGTTTGTCTATAAACTTTCTGTAGGCTGCTGGGTTGTTCTCTGACATATCGTCCAACATAGACCACACCCTCTGTGCCTCCCGGAGCATCTTACTGTTATCTTCTTCAGATGTCATGGTGTTCTGAACGAAAAAAACTAAAAATCAATCACAGAAGTACAACATTAATTGTAAAGTGAATTATGCAAAGTAAAATAAAATAAACAATTCAGTTGTGTATACAAATCTGTATTTATTAGAAAGGACTACATCAATTAACATGTATTTCAAGTTACTTCAGGCCAAATTCGTCAAACTTCTAATAGCGAAAAAAGGTACGTGTAATAAGTACCAAATACGATAACCATACTAAGAGCGCATTCTCAACGAATTAAGCCAGGCTTTACAAAGCCGGCGACCTAAAAATGGCGGACGTACATGAAAGAAAAACCGCCTAATCTTTTAATAGTCTCTCCGCCTCTCACACGCCTCCCCACACATCGTCCCTGCGGGGTACAGTAATTAAATCTCGGCTCCGAACATTAATATTTCCGTGAATATCTCTGGTGATATTATCTCCGCAGATAGTCGATTCATTGCTGCTCTACGGGCAAAATTATTCCTTTTTCGTCTCTGTTTTCAAAGATAATAGAACAGAAGAGCTTTTTTCCTTCGATCGCCTTCAGCCGCCATGCTTTCTTCACCA